ATTTATTCTGTAATATGTTGCATACAACATGCTTTTCATTTTAAATAAATGTTCTTAATTCCAAACCAGTCCCTTGTTTGTTTGTTTTTGTTAAATTATAGGACTAAAGCTGTTACCTGTAAATTTAAATCATGTTTTTATTAAGTACTCGGTATCGGCGAGTACTGAAATGCAAGTACTCGTACTCATTTCCAAAAAAGTGGTATCGGTGCATCCCTAGGGTAAGGTGTATTTATATTTTCACTGCTGCACTGCAAACACTAACTACTGATAATTAATTCATCAAACTTTGTTTTCCACATTTTAAACAAATAAGTGTAACACAGCGTTTCTGTCGCTGCCACAGTCTAACTCACTCTGAGTTCGGAGCGGATAGAAAACAACAATATCAATAAAAACACAACCTCAGACTGAGAGCAGCACTAACATCCCTCAGTTGCTGGAAACTTCACACAGAAGCTTGAGAAGCTCGTACGTGTCTGTGTACAGAAAGTTTAGATTAAAGGAAATGAAATATGTGAGACTTTAGATGCTGTTTTATCTAAATCCGTCTCCATCAGTAGGTAATTTTCCTCATTCAGTCTGATGATGATGATGATGATGATGATCTCTGTTTCAATTCAGTCAAAATTGGGGCCAGCTTATGTGGCCATAACAAATGCTCTCTAACATAAGTCATGTGTTTCTGAAAGAGGAAAAACCTCTACTGAAAAAAAATTATGAAATAAATTAATTAGTGTTTATCGAGGTGACATTTTGCTGTGGGAAATTTTAAATAACCAGTAAAAATGTCTCAGAGTAGCGTAGTTTTATATTAAAGTGATCTCCTGCAGCCACATTGATGTTGTATAAACAGTCAGTGCTGCAGGCATTTATTTTATTTTAATTCATTTTAATTTTTTGCAGCACCAAATGTGACCCCTGGGACCTGTCATATGATGTGATTTTAGTCACGTCATATGTCATTTGGAAGTAAACCATTCATACATATTTGAGAATCAATCTGGAATAAATCCTTAAAGAAGGGAAAGTCTAAGATTAGACACTGGTTCAGGAGGAAAAGTGAGACTTGCATTTTGCAGCAGCCTGTATGAAAGCTCGCTTGCATCGCTTGTTGTTGCTTTTTTGTGTACTTCAGTTTTCAAAGCACCTCCTTGTGTTTTCATCAGTCACTGATTACACTCTCCTTGGTGCATGCCTGATATGTCTTTCAGGGTTTGACCTTAAAAACATGAATTTAACTTTGTTATCAGCGAGGTAGGAAGAGGTTTGAGCTCTACATGTTTATTATTATAGGTACAAAGATGAATATCATCTGTTAAATCCAAACAATTATCTGTCTGTAGATGTGATCGAGTCATTTTTGTTCCTAAACTGTCACCAGGATCTTTCCAGCCGCTTTAATTATATACAATTAGTAACTGGTCAGTTCACAACTAACTGTAAGTAGTTGCATTGCAGCAGCAACCACAGACTGTAAAAACAGCTAACGACTGCTTAAAGCGCGGTCTGGTGCTGCCATCTAGTGACACTGAAGAGCTCTAACGACTGATTTTAGGATCATTCTGAGAGACTTTAACTGCCTCGTGTAATTTCGACTTCTTTTTATCTATGTTTAAAAAAACGTATAGTACACAGGGAACACAGACAGACACATCTATACTATAATCATTATAGTATGATGGTATGGACATTATAGTGTGACTCATTTTAATCTGACATTTCATTCTTTGCTCAACTAGACTGTGAAAAGCACAGATGTTTACAGCATCTGTATAAGATATTTGTATAAGTCAAATAGATGCTGCCACTCACAGTGTCCTATGTAGTGTTAATGTAAAGTTTCTTTAAGACCAGCCCACTCACCTTAGGGAACACACAGACATACGTGCATGTCGATGCTGCAGAAAATTCTTCATCAATGTTATTAATATAATATATATAATATAATATATATTATATAATATATATTAATATAAATACTGCTTCTTACATATATAGCTTTTCTGCTCCAACTGAGCACTCAAAGCCCCTTTTGGCATATTTGGCATGCAGACTGGAATCGAACCACTGACCTCCACGATTAGCAGTTGACTTTGCTCCACCAGGTCTGGATTGGTTTCAAATTTGCAGTGATATACATTTAGGTCACACTTACTGGCCACTTTATTGGGTACACCCCTTCAACTGCATGTTACTAGAAATATTTAATCAGCCAATCACATGTCAGCAAGTCATTGTATTTAGACATGTAGCAGCTTCTTCTCATGCTTTGTGGACTCCTCAGTACTCAGTCTGAGTGAGTTTTAACCTGAGTGTTTGTGAAACTTTTTTCCTCTGTTGGATTTAAAGTGTCAGTCACTGTTTACACCGACCTCAGTGTATTTTAAGTTCTTTTGTGGTTTGAGAAAAGCATTGCTTTAACTCTACTTTGACAATGGTGGGAACTATTCAAAACCTTTGTAATTCAATACTTTGTGTTCTTGTGCAACATTTGTATTATTGTAAAAATCACTATAACATCAACAGACAAACAAATTACCAACTACTGACCAAAACATGGTCTTGTGCTGCCAGTGTAGTGACACTGGAGTGCTGACAACTGAATGAGTCGACTGCAGTTCTCAGTAGAAGTTGGACTCTGACAGAAGAGTAAACAGTAAACAAGTATTAGAATATAAAGCTGTTACAGTTACTTTCAACAAAAGGTTGTGGGGGTGAAAAGCCTTATTTTTGCTTTAACTACTTGTCCTGTATCATAAACACATGTCTAACATTTGTACCAAACCTTGAAAATCCAGTGCAGCACTTTAGCGATGTGTCGGATCCACATCACTAAAGTGCTGAAGCTGTGTGATGCTATCATCTCTATACAGACCTCTGAGTAATATTTCCAGCACCTTGGTGAGTCCATGCCATGAGGGATTATGTCAGTTCTGAAAGCAAAAGATGGTTCAATCCAGGACTATCAAAGTGTGCCTAAAAATGTGGCCAATGAGTGTATGCACTGTGTAGAAAGACATCAGTCATAGGGCCAGTAGGTGGCAGCAGAGGAGTTTAATTTAACTTTAATTTCCTCATATCCAAACTACAAACAAACAAAAGGATCTAGCACACGGGGAACATAGACAGATACATCTATACTACAGTCATTGCATGAACAAATGAGAAGAAGGAAAAAGGATAATAAAGGAAACCTCTTTAGTAGAGATGCACCTGTGTATCCAAACTAGCATAGCTCTATGACTGATTCAAATGTGGATCAGTACCATATCATTCAATGGTGTGTACACACATATATTATACACCTTATACATCCCTCAGAGGGAATATGAAGCCTGTGAAATAACTAACACATGAAAATCACAAATAAAATAAACTAACAAAAGAGAAACTGAGGTGCTTTTGTTTCTGATGTGTTGCCCAAAAATGGAGCTTCAGATTTTTCTTGTTTTATGAATTCATGAGCTAACTGTCCTTTAACTGTTTCCATTTCCTGTTGTTTGATCCTGTGACTTTGCTGTTCAGACAGAAGATTGTTTTTGGTGTTTAACCTTCAGTTACTTTTGATATTTGTGTTATAATCTGTTATTACAGGATGAGATGAGTGAATGTTTTTTCATCCCTGGGAGGAAATTTACAAAATACACAGCAGATGTATTGATGAACGTTTAATTTATTCTTACCAATTGGTTGTAAATGCAAACATTTAACTTTAACATATTTAGCAAATAACATATCTAAATATTTAACATAGTTAACAGCACATGCAAACAGTAAAGCTAAGAGTGAAGTGTGGACACATATCAAAATTTTATAGCCTAATGCCACAGCACTGTTGTTTCCCACTCAAATGATTTCTGAAAATCCTTCTGGAGGGCATACAAGTATTTTTTTCTTTAACTTTCATACTATAACAGAAGTATAGAAACAATGGAGGGAAAAGTCTTCTTTACTCGCGGGTTGTTTCATCTGTTTTGTTGCTTCCTGTACTCATTGAACAAAAATGGAAGAGAACCCCTACCTGCTTCCACTGTGATTGACAATTAACACTGTAAGGGCACACCTTTGCTCACAAAAAGAAAGAAAAACAAAGTTACACAGAGTTAATAAGCACGCACACAGCTACAGCCTGCTGCCCAAACCAGTGTAGCTCACACCTCAGGCAAATGGGGAAAGAAAAAAAAAGGGATGTGGCAGTTTGAGATGGCAGTCAATATGCTGTGGCATACGAGCAGCAACGGCTAATAAGCCAAACTGTGAAACGTTACGTAACTATTAGAGGTCTTAGAGAAACGTTGTCTCTTTTCACTGTGTATTATACCACTGCACATAGTTGGAATTACTATAAAATGACTTGGCTTGACGCCGAACTCCTCCCATAAGCACCAATCTCACTGAGGCAAGGTAAGGTAATAAGGTAATAGCACAATTCAACAGCAAGGTGATTCAAAGTGCTTCACAGAGACATTAAAAACAAAAACAAGTAAAAAACATGATTTAAAATGGGGGGGGAAGAGTAAGTTTTGATATTTAAGATTACACGTAAAACGGAGTTGATTTGGTGCTTTATTCAAATGCAGCTGAGAACAGGTGAGTCTTCAACCTGGATTTAAATAAACTGAGTGTTTCAGCTGATCTGAAGCTTTCTGGGAGTTTGGTCCAGATATAAGGAGCATAAAAGCTGAATGTAGCTTCTCCGTGTCTGGTTCTGACTCTGGGAACTGATAAAAAAACGGATCCAGATGACCTGAGGGATCTGGAAGGTTCATACTGGGTCAGGAGGTCACTGATGTATTTTGGTCCTAAACCATTCAGAGCTTTATAGACCAGCATCAGAACTTGAAAGTCTATCCTCTGAGCTGCAATCACAGTTTCTCTGGTTTCCCGCTGTACTGTGTAGCTGCTGGGCGGTGCCGGGGGCGGTGCTAAGGTGCAGTCTAGCTGATTAAAAAGCAGAGAGTTAAGCAGAGAACATCAGTAATCACTCCTCGTGGTCTCAGGTGTCTCTGACTGAGATTTTAGGTTTTGTTGAGCCCGTTAATGCAGAGACAGCATGGCTGTGCTGAACCTGCTCCATCATGGACTCTTCTGGACTCTGCTGTGTGTCTTATTTCTACTTTCTGCCTCTGAAGGTAAGCAGGTGTTACTGTTATAATACAGCTGAGCTTAGTGATAATTTTGTCTGACCTGATAAAACATGAAACACAAAATTTGGGATGATTAACAGTTAAAACGGCGTGTTTCTTAAGTCAGTATCCTGTTAGGCACACTGAACAAGATGTGTGCAGGTGAAGGAATGAGCTGATCCGTGGCATCACAGAGAAAGAGTCTGCTTATAATTTATTTCGCAAAAGCATAAAAATTGAAGTCCAATCACAGGATTTTTTGTTTACAGTGTATTTGTTTTAAACCAGTAATATTTTTTTCAGTGTCTTTTAATATAAACCTGAAAGCTCACTAGCAGGTGCCGTTAGTCTAAAATAACTGCAGACGAAAACATCTGGAATGTTTCAACAGTAAAACTGAAAATTTGGATTATAAAATACAAAATGCATCCGCTTCTTCGGCAAAAACAAGAAAAGATGAAAATGAGTCAGTTTTCCAATTAAAAGTGAACCACCAAGAGGGTCACTTTTGAGTCCTTGGGACTTTGAAAAATCGTAAAACTGCTTAAAATAGATATCATGATCTCATATTTGTCACAGGAACAAGTCTCAGCATGACAAGAAAGACTAGACGAGTAAGCAGGATGAGAAGCAAAAGTTTTCAGGACATCGCTGTTTATAGTTGTTTTAGGTATAAAACAAACATAATACTGTACAATATAAAGCGCCTTGAGGCGACTGTTGTTGTGATTTGGCACAATGTAAATAAAACTGAATTGAATCAAATTGAATATCAGGAAAATGTAATCGGGGAGATCCAACTGGAGAGATTGGTTTTGTAGTTTTTGTGTGGAATAATTTGTTCCCCCCTGTTACGACCTGGCTCAAAGCCGCAACATAAAAAAAGGAGATGAATACCAGAGTCTGGGTGAGAAGAGATTTTATCTTAAAATGGAATAGCAGGTTGGCTCAAATGGTACCACCAAGGCAAAGACTAGTGAGCTCTCTGGGAAGCTTGCCTCAGGTATGCTTTTATCCACACCTGACTAGGTGTGGCCAATTAGCACCAGCTGAAAACATTGAGATGATTAGGGGCTGCAGAGGGACGTAACACCCCCTTTTTACATTCACCTTGTTTTTTGCTACCAAATGGCAAACAAGCTTTCTTAGAAAAGCACGGCTCACAAACTTTACGTCCTGCAGAAGCAGTAAAAAAGGACCGATGATTACCCCTACAAATTTAAATCATTTATAAAGCTATTAAACCCCATAAAAATATCTTAAATACTTGATTTGTCAAATCTTACTAAAAAATAAGTAAAAGTAGATGACAATTAACTACTAAAGTTCTTTAAGTGTTAAAGGAATTTAATTAAAGATGGATCAAAATGTCATTGAGAAATAAATCTGTAAATAAAAGATGTGTTTACTTTGAAAACATGTCCAGCATCAGGTCGTAACTGTCTCTCATGAAAAACACTCCTCTGGTTCATCGGAAATCAGTGATCTCCATGTGTAGCTCATCGTGATAATCATAACACTTTGAATCTTTATCCATGTTCCATATTGTTTCCTCTCTTTTAGAGCTAAACATCACAGCTGGACAGAGCGTCACTCTGACATGTCGAGCTCCAAATAGCAACATCCCGATCACAGTTGTAGAGTGGAGCAGAGCTGACCTGAAGGAAGAATATGTCCTTATGTACCGGGACGGTCACTTATATGCAGATGGTCAGCATCCATCTTTTAAGAACCGGGTGGATCTGCAGGACAGACAGATGAAGGATGGAGACGTGTCTTTGATTCTGAAAGATGTGACGATTAATGACACTGGAACATACGAGTGTCGTGTCGTCCAGAGAAAAACAAACCGCAGGAAGAGAGCTCATCTGAAGACTGACCCCATCAGCAGCATCTACCTGAGTGTTGTTGAACCTGTGAGTGAGTAGAGTTGAGTGTGTGTGTGATCAGAGGTGAAGCTGCTTCCTGGTTGTTGATGTTTGTTTGTAAAGATGTTGTTGATGAGACTTTGTAGAAAGCAGCTGGTCTGAGTGATGTGATCAGAGTGCAGTAGATAATGTCTGACAGCAGTTTGAAGAGGAAATGGATTCTGTTCTGTTCTTCACTCATCACCTACCTGACAGCTGACACCTCACACCTGTTTCTCACCTGCAGGTCAGACAGGAGGACACACAGAGGATGGAGGGAAGGAGGATGGAGGGAAGGAGGATGGAGGGAAGGAGGATGGAGTCTCTAGAGGACGTCCTGGTCTGGTAGCTGGTCTCTCAGCCTTTGGTGTGATTTGTGTTGTTGTGGCTGCTTTTGGGATCATTGGAAAACTGAAAACGTCAAATTCGTCCTGAACAAAGTCCAGTTTGGAAAAAAAGATTGTTGCAATTTTATTTTTTCTGTCTGCAGACAAACATTTTTTTCATTCGTTTTTTTTTTTTTTCATCTCTCATTAATAAATGAACGTGTGATTAAGATTCTGTTACTGTGTAATCTCAGGGGTTAAATTAAGGTCCAGACATGTCTAATATGACTGTGGAGAAACATGAAACACACAGAAGCACTTTTTTTCCCTGCTTATGTCAAGTGTTTCCACTTACTTTACTTTGTACTTTATTTTTACTGTTTAGTGCCCTGAGCTGACCCATGCTGTGGTTTTACAGCTCATGAAAGTTCATGGAAGTTCATGAGGAGCCACATAAACTTCCTTCAATGGAAAATAAATCAAACATCTTTGTAACATTTTCTTTTTCATCTGTGATAAACTTGTTTTGTCTGTTTTGAATGTCAGCTGTAGTGCTGGATGCATTAAACTATATTTAATCTAAGCTTGATATTTTTGTCTTTTTTGTCATTGAGCTAATTGAGTGTTAAAGAACAAACATTTACAGAGAAATCAGTGAGAACAGCTACGTCTCTCATCTGATTAAAAAAACTTTTAATTCAAGCTTCATATTGTTTTTTTGTAGAGTTTTAAATGGCAAATAAAGATGCCGCTAGTAAACTTTATGTTTCTATGTGACTGACTCTCCTGCAGTAACAACGCTAACAGCTTTAGCTCTTTTTTATATTTAAACACTGTATGGGTCAAACATACACACGAAGCTCACACTGGTGGCAGTTTTTACATGTGTTTGAACAGAGACATGAGGGAGGCATTAAAATGACACATTTATATATAAACAGAACGATGAAAGTGGCACTAATTAGTCCCAACCATCACTAGAGATTAAACATCCCCATTCACAGAAACTCTCCCTCATGACCTCTGGAGTTCACAGAAGTGTCAGAGCCCAAACTACCAGACTGAGAAACAGCTCTAACTGTGTTAATGTCATCTATGTCCTCTAACACTCTTCACTCTTCCTGCTGCTCTCTTTAAGCTCCAAATATCTCATCTCTCCCTGCTTGTTATTCAACACTAATACCATCATCCAACCTAATGATAAATAAACAGCACCATCAGATGGATAAAGGAAATATATGATGAGTCATGTAGCTCAAATTTGAAATGATTTATTGCACCAGACAAATAAAGTCAGAGTTTGGTGCCAACACTCTGAGCTCATCACTCCCTACAAATCTAACAAGGACAAACTGTGTACACATGCAGCAGTTATTTTAGGAACTACTTAATCTGACAGACAGAATAAACCATAAACAACTGAACTGTATTCGAGTCAACAAATACAAACTGCTTAGTTGCAGCTTATCTCTAAAGCAGATGAGCTGAATCTTTGAAGTCAGGACCTATCATGATCGATGCAATCAGCGCTAAAAAAACAAAAAAGGTTGTGAATACTTCCAGTGTGGGTTCTTGTCTGTGAGGTGTGACTCGTGCTTTTTTTCCTCTTGTTCCGCGTTTCAGTGTTAAATGTTTCTTTTGAATTCAGCTGCCAGAGTGCGGTTTGTAAAAGGCAAACCCCACAGAGAATGACTCACACGTCTCAGTTCTTCAACACACATATGACTAATATAACTGAGGGACAGCAATCAGAGGAAACTTCCAGCAGATGAGTGCAAAGCGCCCTCATCTAACATGTCACAAATATTTTTGGTAAGTGTCATAGTGGCTTAATTTTCAAGATAGCTTGATGCTACATATACATAAGACTAACTCAGCACAAAACTAATTCATGAAACTCTGCTTTACTTTATCTCTGTACTTTTTGTTTTATGTTTTGAAGACAAATTCTAAATTAAGGAAAAAATGAAATAAAACTATAATGTGACTGTTGGAGTTGTGTGACCTCTGTGAGCTTCCTGATTCAGATTGTAAAAGACTGCAGGACAGCTTCAGATCATAAACGTCTTTAAGAAATCGTCCTTTTTGTTTGCTCTGCTGTCTGATAGAGACATATCCACACAGGCCAAGCAGAGCCAAACAGCTTTCACTTTAGATTTTAGTCACACTGTTAGTCACATGATATTTTTGTGTATCTTACCTTTGGCACAGCTGGAGCTTATGCCAGCCACCACAGGTGATCAGGGCACTGAGATGGAACACTCTGCTCTCTGAGGTTTCCTACTTACTCTTTTCTGGATTTTACACAAATGAATTCAACATACACACAGATGTTTACAGATGCTGTCATTGCTGATTTTTCATCACTAGTCAGTGTAAAATTATCCTCTGAGGAGTGACAATAAACACCACCATACAGTTAAACTCAAAATGCTTCTTTCTGATCCTAAATAGCTGATCTGTTACTTGACGAGATAAAATTGTATTATACTCAGACTTCCTTTTAATGATGTCTAGAAATAGAGAAGGACAAGTGGAGGCCTTGCAGTCCTGTTCTATTAATTCAGTTTCTATTTCTAACAGCCGTTTCTAGGGTTCTTTTTCCAACTAAGATTCAAAAAACAATTTTCTCCCTGCGTTAACACTTTAAATGTTTTCCATAAAATCGAATCAGAAACATCCTGTTTATCATTAGTTTCCAAGCCTTCTGATATTTTTGTTGTCATTAATCGGCAGTAGGATGCCTCAGACAGGAGTGACGGGTGAAAACGCCAGGTACACTGTTGTTTCGTACCACATAACTCCAGAACTAAAGAGGTTTGAGAATAATCCAAGATTAAAATGCTGTGATACATTGAACATACAACTTTAGAAATCAAATTGGAATCAAACAAAAAATAATCTATTCTCGGGTCCGACTTCTGCACTTGTGAGAAATAAGAATAGTCTCGACTAGTAGGTTTACACAGTCTCCAAACATAAACTAGGTAAGTGGAACTCAACATATTATTGACAACAATCGAAGAGTTAATCAACTGGGAGGTTTGGGTAGATCTGTCTAAGTGTTTATCAAGTACACAATTCAAGTCACCTCTTAAAATTACATTAGTGTCAGAAAGATTAGGTAATATTTAGGAAATTTTGACTAAAAATTCTGATTAGCCCAGCAGAGCAGCCTCTCGTTAGTGGGTTTCAAATGTGTTTCCTGAAGATACACAATATCAGCAGCTAACATTTTTAAGTAAGAATAAACCTTGGCTCATTTGTGCACATGCCCTAGACCTCGCAAGTTCCAGCTCACAAATCTAATGCCACCAATTAGCGAAGATGAATTAGGATTCACAACAGAAATAATAAATAGCAGTGTACACACGAATTGCCCTTGTAAAACATCGATGAGTAAAATATACCAACAACACAAACACAGAGAACACAATCCTCTTCCCCCCGTCCCACTTTCCCAAACAAAGTGAGAAAATAAATCCCGCATACTCATAGAGGGTCTGCATCACCATTTCGAACAAAATGGTGTTTATTATCTATGTTTAAAAAAATCTAGCACACAGGGAACATACAAAGATACATGTATACTACAATCATTGCAAGCACAAATGGGAAGAGGAAAGAAAAAAGGGTAATAAAGGAAACAATAAGATACACCTGTGTATCCAAACTAGTATAGCTCTATAGCTGAGTCAGGGTGTAACTTACTACCATATCATTCAATGAAACATTTGCACACATATACCTTATACATCAGCGGTCCACAACCCCCGGGCCATGGACTGGTACTGGTCCATGAATCATTTGGTACCAGGCTGCGAGAGTTGAGGTTCGGTGGGAAATTTATGGTTTTCAGGGTTTTTATTGGTTTTTATTGTTAATATGTATTGTTTTTATCGTTAACTTAACTTTCCCGTGTCTTTTTCTGTGTGTTATGAATAAATTTTATTTTTTTTAGTACTGGTACTGGTTTTATTTTGTTGTATTTAACCTTAAAGGCCAGTCCATGAAAGAATTGTCGGACATAGTCTGGTCTGGCGCAAAAACGTTTGCCCGTTTGCCACTGTTATACATCATTCAGAGGGAATATGGAGCCTGTGAAATATCTAACATATGAAAATCACAAATAAAATAAACCAACACAAGACAAACTGGGGTGTTTTTTTTTATTGATGTGTTGCTCAACAAAGGAGCTTCAGATTTTTCCTGTTTTATGAATTCATCAGCTAACGGTACTTTGACTGTTTCGATTTCCTGTTGTTTGATCCTTTGACAATTCAGGGAGGAAATTATTTTCTTTGTGTTTTACCTTCAGTTACTTTTGATATTCATGTCATAATCTGTTGTTACAGGATGACAAGTATGACTGTTATTCATCACTGGGAAGAAATTTACAGATGAAGATTTGAACGATGCACATTTAATTTGCACTTACTGGCCACCTTATTGGGTACACCCATTCATTTGGGCTGAAAAGCCACAGTTTTGCTTTAAGGCTACGTCCACACATACATGGGTAGTTTTGAAAACAGAGATTTTCAGTTTTTGTTTAAAAAAAATCCCGTCCACACGTGCAGTTTTGAAAAAAATATCTCTGTCTACGTGTAAACGGTAAAAACGAAATGTTGGCCAATCAGAACTCTAGAAGCCTTGAAGGGAAAGAGTAAGCGGGTTTGTTTACTAAAAAAACTTTAGTACTTAAGAAAACTTTTTGTATGTTTGTGTTACTTTTCAAGTGCCTTCATCATTTCAAATGTTATTGACAGTATTTTAGCTGATGTAGAGTCACAACCTAGGAATTAACAAAATGCATACAGCATATGTAATGTTAAAAGTCTGCTTGTTCACTGTAACTGTTTAGACTACGTTACCCATGATGCACCTCGGTATCTGTACTTACGGTTGGGAACATGTTCAGTGCAGTTGTGCACAGATGAGAGGTGTGTTGGAGGAAATACCACACACATACTCACACTGACACTCCCTTTACCTGCATGTGAATATTGTAATTGGATCGCATCCCTACCAACGCTGTTCATCCTGTTGATGCCATCTGCCACCTCCTTATTAAAGTGATTTGAACTACATCACTGTGGAGTACCATTCCTTCTGACCGAGGACAACTCAGTTGAAGCGTGATTGGCAGTCAGTGCAAACATTACGTAATTTAATTAAAAAATTGATTCAAAACCAGGTTGTGAAAGCATCTGTGTTAAATGTAGAAGTTCACTCTGACACCTCTGTCTTTCTAAATGGAGGGACACTAACTACGTGTGTATATGTAAGCGTGTAAAAACTGCAGATAGTAAGACTAACAGCAACATTATTTATTTATTGTAGAAATGAATCTCATGTAAACAATAACGTGCACAGCGTGATGCCAAAAATGGCGCACACCTTTGATTTTGCGTGACTAAATCTCCAACTTCCTTGTCTACACATAATTTTCGAAAATATCCACCCTGGCAGGAGTTTTTAAAAATCTCCATTTTCAGTGACCCAAAACGCCGTTTACATGTGGACAAAAGGTGCAAACGCATAGAAAAATCTGTGTTTTCAAAAATACCCGGTTACGTGTGGACGTAGCTTAAGTGTGTGTCCTGTATCATAAATGCAGTTCTAATATTTGTATCAAACCAAACCTTGAAAAAAGCAGAAATTTAGAGACGTGTGGGATGTGCAACAGCTGTGTGATGCTATAACCTCAATATGGAAAAAAAAAACCCTCTGAGAAAATTTTTCCAGCACCTTGTTTAATATTTACTATTAAGGATTAAGCCAGGTCTGAAGGCAAAAAGGGGCCAAACCCAATACTTGCAAGGTGTGCCTAAAAATATGGCCAATGAGTGTATGCACTGTGTTAAAAGTCACAAAATAATAAGAGCCAGTAGGTGGCAGCAGAGGAGCTCAACACGTGATAGTTTTCATCTGACTTTGAGTCTGGCTCCAGCTTGTCTGCCTTCAACAGGCCTCATGTTCATCAGTGATATATTTATAGATAGTAATATTTGAATCTCTGTGTTAACTTACTGCTAATATGTGTAAATGCTGATATTTACTGACCTAGTAAGAGGCAGTAGGAGCAGGCCTATCCATTACTGCATGTAAAGCCTGAGCCCCACAAATCATTAAAACTAAGTGAGAAGTGTTAACAGTCATTGACTGATCAGTGTTTATGTTTTTAAAAAATATATAAACGTGAAATAATTTCAACAAGTTTATGAACTTGTTAAATTCTCTTCGTACTGATCATCTTAGTGTCCTCTTAAAACTCAATAAGATGGTTATAGAAATGCATTGATAAAGGAATATAATCACTAAAACACAAGACTTGTGCCTGAGGAGTTCATGACATTTTACCTTTATTTGAACATTAATATTATTTGAACCTGCTCTGACACCCCTACAACACCGACTTGAGTTCTGTGTCACGTCTCATCTGTACCATATGAAGTGAAGGTAAGTAGAGGCAGTTACACTCCCCCTAAAAGTCCATTTAAACATTTGTATTGTAAAGCCTTTGCTTTGAAAGATGTTTCACAGGCTAGCAAAGAGTTTTCTTTATGTTATTTAATGTCTGCAAAGTCTTAAGTCTCTAATCAGAGCAGCTCTGATCTCATCCAGAC